TCTGTTAGAACATCGAAATTGATTTTTGTGTACAATTCGATCGTGCTATTGGATAAAAATAGAAGAATATTTCTATTGAAAATATTTTTCATAATGCAATTCGTTTTCATCGGATCCATCAGTGCATTGAAAACGAAAATCATAACGTTGATAATTTGGTATACATCGAACATCAGATACACATCGAAATTGATTTGTAGGGCAAGCAATATTATCTAGAAAATCAATTTACAACTTCATCAAATATTTCATTTGTACAGAAAAAAAGACAACTCAGTGCAACTGAGTTCATCAATTCAACCATCGCAATTGTAATAATCTTGAGGGTGTGGGAGAGAGGTGTGGATGTTGGTGTATGGGCGTGGGTATGTGGGTGTGGGTGTGAGAGTTTAATTGATTCCATTCCATACCCACACCCACACCCACACCCACACACTCACACCCACACCCAAAATGTATTTTGTACAAGAGTTTATCCAATGCCAGTTGGAGGTACACGAATTGTTCGTATCATTTATCAAGATCAAGCACAAATGGAAAATGATCACTTTCTATTTCATATACCTATATATTTTAATACTACACTTGAAAATTTGGATATTTCATTGATTTGTACACATGCATCAAATGATTGTCAACTACAATTTCTTTCCAAAGTAAAATTTCAACAAAATTTTGTGAATTCAAATGGAAGATATTGTTTCGAATCTCACCAAGTCAATGTTAAATCATCACAAGATGAACAGTCTATTACATATATGCTAAAAAGCTGTTAGCGCAATCCCTTACGGGATTAAAAATGTGAAACACGATGTATCTGCTGTTGCCAATCTTATAAAAATTGTTCTTTTTTATGCATATTGGAGTACATTTCTTCATCGTGGCTTACTATACATTATAGAGCTGAAACAGGATAATCCCTCATATATGCTCCAATCATGTGTTAGTTATGCATTATCTCTGATACTTCCTTGAACTCTTCTTTCACAGTCTATGATGACCCCTGGAGCTTGTCTGTCACGGTCTGCGATGGTCTCTGGGGTTCTCTGTCATGGTCTGTGACGGTCTTTAGGGTTCTCTATCACGGTCTGTGATGGGTCTGGAGGTTCTCTGTCACGGTCTATGATGGTCTCTGAGGTTCTCTGTCACGGTCTGTGATGGGTATTGGAGTTTCTCTGTCACGGTCTGTGATGGGTACAGAATTTCTCTGTCACGGTCTGTGGGGGGGGGGGGGTCCAAATTTCTACCCCTAAACACTTCAACACTCCTTTCAGATCGTGTTTCACAAAAATCTAACACCAAGACAACCTACTCATAGTGTAGAAATCGATCCTGATGATCATAGTCAAGCTTATTTTGCTTTATACTATGTGCCACTATTATCGCAAACAAATAATATTGTACCTAATAGTCGAAATTCAATGTCGATTTGTATACTTTGGGATACAAGTTTAAGTCGAGCTAATCTTGAAAATCGTAATCATGAAATTAGTATGTTAAAGATGATATTAAATACTTGGAAATTGAATGGTAATAATATTAACTTAACTATTGTTGTTTTTCGAAATGAACTTGAAGAACCACGTTCATTTAACTTACAAGAACAGGACTATTGATCTCAACTTGATCAGTTTTTAACTAATCTATCATATGATGGTGCAACAAATCTATTTCAATTAGCTACACTTTCAACTACCATTCCAAATACAACATATTATTTTTTATTTAGTGATTGTCTTTCGACTATTGGCAATGATGAACCAACCCTATTGAATAGTTTGACAACAAAGCCAATATGGATATTTAATGCTAATTCTGTATATGAACCAAGTAATTTTCCATTGATTAATTATCTAACTAATCTTAGTGGTGGTGGCTATATTTCACGTGAGAAAATCATGACTCTAGATGATGCTAATGATATTGTTCAATGGATTGATAGACCACAAACAAGATATTTGAATATGAATATTATCAATGATGCTAATGTTTATGATATTTATCCTAGTCATTCAATTACATTAACACTAAATACAGAACGATTTATACTTGTTGCCAAAAAGTCATCATCGACCTCAGCTAATATTGCTGTTAATTTTATTA